CTCTTCTCGCAGATTTTTCCCATGTACCCTTTTTGGCAAATACAAGAAAACTTTTCTTTGGGTGAGCTGCATTGCTCTTCGCATGTCCCTCCATTCAAACAAGGCTGAGATCGACAACAGCCATTATAGCATTGAACACCTGGCGGTATCAAGTGGGAGGACTGAAATAGAGAAAACATAAACAATAATTAGACACATCTGAAAAATGTGCGTTCGTCGAACGTGTTGAGAATTCACGCGAGAATGGCATGGAGGCTTCTCTCTTGAATTTTACAACTCACTTACCATATTGTACATTGTCTGTCTGACATCAAAGTGTACGTATCCTGGCTCATCTGTTAAGTTTTTGGAAGTCTTGTCCTCATCCAGCAACTCACATCTTGCATCTTTCATCTGGCACGCCTTACAACGACAATCTTGGACACAAGATGAGTAGCACTTGACTGGATCATCAGTGGTGATGTTGTTGTAGGAGTATCCCTTGAGATKTTTTCCATGRAAGATGTCTTGGGACTCTGGGAAAAGTCGTCCAGTATAGCAGGTGCCAACGCAGTGAGAWTTACAAAGAATGTGTTTGAGACATGAGAAGAGTGCAAAAAACGGGAAATATGATGGTCTCATTTTGAAATATTGGGATTTCTGTAAAAGAAATTTTGTGCAATTTTCAGTATTTAGCAAAAATTCMATTAACATATCTTCTTTTCTTGAAGAGAAGTTTTTATCAACTGAAAATATTTGAATGATTTGCTAATTAGACTGTTTTTCATTAACCCGTGAAACACACTTTAGCGTATTTATCGCTATTACACTTTGTCTAATTTGTTTTTTTATTGTCTCAACGCGACTATTACTATCTATTACACTCTAATTATTACACTTTGTTTCACGGGTTTATGAAAACCACTCTATCAGAGAAATTCTGAAAAGGCTGTTTGTAGTTAACAGAATGGTAGCTTTGTTTTGCTTTAGAAGATCTAACCGTGCAATCCTTGAATGCCTAAAAACTTTTTTTTCTATCCTTAAAGTATCAAATAAAACATGTACATTTTACATCGAAAAAAAAAAAACATGTACATTTTACATCGAAAAAAAAAAAACAATGACAAGACAAAGATTCTATCGAAAAAAAAAAAACAATGACAAGACAAAGATTCTATACTGTACTCACATGGATATAGATACTTTTGGGTTACTTCGAATTGCATCGATTGCGATACTAGTTCGTGGCGGTTGTTTCTACATCCAACTCCAAAACAAACACATGCCAATAATAGTACTTGTAGTTGTAATATTGTTCTGAGAGAGGAAGCTGTTTAATACTATTTCTTTATTGACTATTTTAATAAGCGGACGAATCAACGCTCTGCAGCAAGCCATCGTTAAATCTATTNGAGGTCACTTGTTCCATAGCTTGTGAGTGCAGTACACTTACGACATTTCTGTTCACCAATCTTAATGAAGGTATACCTGTATATAGTGATATGAAGTAATCATTAAACCGTGCTAATAAAGGCAATAATTTGATATCCATCAAACTATGGACCATTACAAATGCAGCATTCTGATTGGCTATTGAACTATGGTATATTCCTGATAGCAATGAAACGTAAATAATGGAAAAATGTCGAGAAAAATTGTGTTCTTTGTGGTCTTTTTTATCCAAAAGCACTAGAAAAAATCGCGCGCTTTAAAGGTTGTAAATGTAATGTATATAGAGCGGATTTCGTATGAGTGGGACACCGTTACCGCACGGTTACCGGACAGTTACCGAACCTGGCCTGCACAATTTTGGTGAATCAATGGGGCACTAGAATTTGGTTACAGTACGATTACGGTCACAGTACAGTACCGTCCGTTTCCCACTCATACGAAATCCGCTCTATGATGTAAGTGTTCAAAATTCTGTAAATTTAATGGAAATCATTTACATCAAATTTACAGAATTTTGGACACTTTACATCATATTTACATCAAATTTACAACCTTTAAAGCGCGCGATTTTTTCCTGTGAAGAACACTAAAAATTAGACACTCGGTCTCATGAACTAAGAATTGATAGTCCATTCAGCCTATCAACTCGTAGTCCAGTCAACCTTGTGTTCTAATTATTATGTTATACATAAATAAAGTTATGTTCTGAATAATGCACGACAGGAGCGATCCAGGATTTTCCTCAGGGAGGGGTGCGGGTCTCTCAGGAGGGGAGTGCACCCCACAAAAATCATTWCCATGAAGATGCAAATTTATAAGGAAAGTATCGAAGGATACAGATCTCAGGAGGGGGTGCGCTCCCCCTGCACCCACCAGCTGGATCCACCCCTGCACGATATCAATCGACTTTAGTTGTTATGGCCGCGTCACTTGTCGGGGGGACCACTTATCCAATAACTAYAATCAGTAACTATGTTAACTTTTACCTTTTACATTGATTGTCGATGGAAATCTCTTTTAAAATATCTACTTCAGTCAGCACCCCAAGCATATAGGATGATTTACCAGGATTCACCACTTGGATGTCACATGTGGCTCTAAAGATGGTGGCCTTGGATCGGAAGTACAGCATGTCATTCAGGCTTAATCGGTAGGCTTCCCAGTTTGGAGTTCTGTCTTGATTTACACTATAGTTAACATAAAACGGCTTCGCTTTGAATAGATAGTTGTTCTTTAAGGAAAATGACTCGATTAAAGCCCAGTATCGTTTGCTGTTGAAGTTAAGAATTCACAGAAGATTTTAATAATCTTCGAGTCTGAAGTTCTTATAAAATATACACCTTTCGTAGGCATTCCGGGTTCCTTCCGAACAGCAACATCTTTRCARGACGAATATATTTTTTTCGTTTCGCAAACTTTGCCATGRAATTTATAATTACAGCTGCAAGTGAACTTTTCCTTTGGTGAATCGCAGTGYTCTATGCATGTTCCTCCATTCAAACAAGGCTGAGATCGACAACAGCCATTATAGCACTGAACACCTGGTGGCATCAAGTACGAAGACTATAAAGCAATCGAAAAATTACTGAAAACTGCAGATAATGATTATATTGATTTTAAAACCATTTGGGGAACTATTCAAAAAAGATTTTGTGCAATACTTACAGCATTGTACATTGTCTGCTTGAGATCAAAGTACACGTATCCTGGTTCATCTACAAAGTTATTAACCTTGGAAGTCTTGTCCTCATCCAGCAACTCACATCTTGCATCTTTCATCTGACACGCCTTACAACGACAATCTTGGACACAAGATGAGTAGCACTTGACTGGATCATTAGTGGTGATGTTGTTGTAAGAGTATCCCTTGAGATGTTTTCCATGGAAGATGTCTTGAGGCTCTGGGAAAAGTCTACCAGAATAGCAGGTGCCAACGCAATGAGATTGACAGAGGATTTTTGGAATAAACAAGCACATAAAGAAGAAGACCACATCGACGACCATCATGAATCCCTTCAACTATACCTACAGTTGTAGATCAAAGAAAGTTTCTTGCTTGTCTTAAATTAATTAAGTTATTCCTTAATTTTGTGGTCATTTTAAGTTGCCTATTAATCGAAATGAATTTGTAAAATCGAGAGACAAAAATGAGCGAATAAAAGAATAGAGTACAAACATTAAATGTGTGCAATACTTTCCACTAAATTACAGAAATTTACTGTGCCCACATTCGTGCTTACCTCAACACCGTGCATTTTGACTGAATAGTTCAAATTTTGATTATTTGGCTATAGTTGTCTCTTCAATACACTAGTAATAATAGTTCTTATTGGAAGATTACTTC